ATTCAAACATAGATAAATTCTTTTAAGCAAATGACATATAACAAACTCAAACAAAAAAGAAAGAAGAGAGAGAGAGAGAGAGAGAGAGAGAAGAAAAAAAAACCAATGAATTCCATGAGTACAAGAAAATGAATTTTTTTTTTTTATTGATACAATTCTTTCGTGTATCTTTGTTATTTTGTTAACAAGATAGATAGATAGACACAATGGTTTTTTTTTCTTTTGCAGAATACGACACACATACACGAAGAAACAGAAAGATACATAACCACAGTTGGATCAAAGTGACAAACACAGGAAAAAAAAAGAAAGAAAAATGAAATATAGAGAAAGAAAAAGTACACAACAATGATGTTGACAAACGAAAGAGAAGAGAAAGAAAAAGAACGTCTATCGAACAATCACAAAACTAAGCTGCTGACAGTATGCCAGTTAGACATCAGTAGAGATAGTAAGAGAGACGTTGAACGTCACACACGAAAAAAAAAAAAACTTTTGACAAGAAAAACGAAAAAAAAAGTCAATATATATGTGTGTGTGTGTGCATACGGATTTGAGTTTTTTATTTCCTTTTTTTTTTTGTTTTTTAGTCTCGAGATGCATCATCGCCTTCTTCTTCATCATCATCACCGACCTCTTTCGATTCATCATCATCACCGGCACCTACATCGCTACCGCCTATTGAACTAATAAAAATAGAATATATTTTTTTAATTGATTTCTTTTTACCTTCATCACTTTCTCCTTCACTAACTTCACCTTCTTTATAATCTAAGGAAAAAAAAAAAGAAAATAATTAATCATTTATATTTTTTGAATACCTATACCATCGTCTTCAGAATTTTCTTCATCTTCTTCCTCAAAATCTCCACTTTCATCTGGATCACCTAAAAAAACGAAAAAATCAAAAATCAAAAATTTTTTTTTTTTTATTTTGAATAAAAAAATTTTACCACTAGCGCCAGCATCCGTTGAAGTTGGTTTACCATTTCTTTTTTTTACATCGACACTATTTGAATCGTCATCATTCGTATCTCCACGTGATTCATCATCATCAGGCTTTGATGATCGATTTTTTGTTGTTGATGTTGCTGCTTTTACTGGTGTTGCCTTTTTCTTTGAACCTGTTGTTGTTGTTTCGGCAGCTTCACTAGATTCATCATCTTCATCATGAGTTCGCTAAAATATATATATTTAATAAATATTGAATAAAGAACAAAAACAAAACAAAAAAAGAAATTAACCTTTTTGCCTTTGATTTCGATTTCTGTCGACATTTCTTTTTTTTTTTCTCTGTGTTAGATTAATCTAATAGACAGGAAGAAGAAGAAAAAAAAAGAGGAAAAAAACAGAGGACAGATGAAGGATAAGAGATATAAGGACTAGTTAAATAACAAGTTATGATGATCTAAAATAAATGAAATATATAAATAACTATTATATTGTTACTTTTATACTTTACGATGTCGTTATTTCGTTTTAACAAGTTATACGTAACTGAGTGCGTCTTTGAATCGAGACTGAATGAAGAAATACGTCAAACAAAGAACGATTTTTCTTTTTCGTTCAAATATTTCTTATTGGTTCGACGGCATACTAGACAAATTGTTAGACGGCCTCCGCATTGATTAAGTCAAATTGATTATATGAATTATAATATTAAAAAAAACAATGAAAAAAAATTTTTATTTAATAAAATTCTATAATTATTATTATAAATCTGTTATAGAGGCATGAAAACAAAATAATAAAATATTGTTAACTAATCATTTAATTTCTTTCTTATATTATTAATAATCAAATGAAATTTATCTTTTATTTAAAAACAAAAAAAGAAAAAAAAATTTTGTTTGTTCATTTTTATTTATGTAAATACAGATTAATGAAAATAATGACATCTATCGAAACAGATGACAGACGTCGTTGATTTCTATTTAAAACAGATTAGTTGTCATTTCAGCTACTAGTAAGAGGAGCAATCTAAAAGATTTAAAATATTTTCTGAAAGAGATTTGATCTTTCTACTAAATATATTGGCTCGAAAAATTTGAACGTCTATTAGTAAAATATAAATCGCTTTTATTTTGAAGATTATCTTGTTTAATGATTCATTTCGATGTCTATTTAGATTGAAATATATGCTGAAATAATTTTCTTTTTCTGTTTAAAAGAATAACAATATAGAAACAAATTTAAATGACTTAATTGTGACATACACTTAAGAAAATTTAAATATTAAAGTGAATCATAATATTGATGAGTTTTTTAATCTAATCATCGTTGAACTCTCTAGGTTTTACTACTTTCTGTTTTGTTTTAATAGCAGTTGTTTGGTCATGAACTTCAAAATTTTTTGTATGTAACGAGCACATTGTATAGGAAAGCATCATTTAGAAAATAGAATGTATATAGTATACTTTACTTAATAAAAAAAAAACATTGTGTTTCGAAGATGCTAAAAGGTGCTTGTAAAGAAGAACATAATGAATCTAACTTATTCTATATTTTTTTAAAGAATATTTTAATTATTTCTTTAAACCTTCAGTCTCTCTTTGATTATTTCATAAAGAAAACAGTGAGAATATGTTTTCGGTTTATCATTTTTGTTTTTGTTGAATACATTATTAAAAAAACCTTCATTATTGTGCACTTTGATATACTTTACTCTATGAACACATATACTTTGTAAGTTTAAATCCTTCATCTCAGATCTCGAATTATCATTATAAAAGTATCTCATTCAATGTAAATATGGTATAAGTAGAAATAATTCGAATAATGAGAGTTAAAGAAAATGTTAAACTTCGACTGAAAATATTAATGAGATAATTGTTTAATTTTAATATAGTGATAGCAATTGAGATAATCTTGATCTATTCAATATTAAAATTTCTTGTGATGACGAAAAATATTAAATTCGTTTTTGTTTTCTTTTGAAAACTATGGAAATACATATTATGATACTAAACTATCATAGAGTTGAATCTATATCAAATAGATCTTCTTTTCTCTTTCGATCTGATATCCAACACGTTGACTTCTATTGATATTTTAAGATTTATTCTAGAACAGAAATTCACAATATGTTAATCGAATTTCTAATAAAAAAAAAACTAAACGTTTGAAGTATTTTAACATTAATTAATTTAAAAGAAACGAATAATATTATATTCAACCATTTGATGAAAATGAAAATATTTATTGATTGTATCATATTTATACAATCTGCATCTGATCTTCTCATGACAACATCAATAATAATGACATATGTTGAAATGAATATTATGGGAAAAGAAATGACAGGCAGATCATCCTGTTGCTAAAAGTTCTCATACTCATTCTATGATTAATATATCAACTTGTAAACAAATAATAAAACTGAATAATATAAACAAATGATTTATTATCAATACCAATCATGATATTAGCAATAGAAGAAATACATTTTTCGATAGGAAAATCATCATCATTAATAGATGAACATATTTCAAGCATATTTATATCAGTATTAATATCATATGTATATAGTAGAAATAAGATGAAAACATGATATGTATTTGATAAATATTAATTGGAGAGATTCAAAATAAGAGAATATTATTTTCTATATAACGCAAAAAAGAAGAAGATTTATTGCCTTTTAGCAAATATTTACTGATTCTATTTTCAATTCGAATATGTGTAGAAATTAAATTTTGGATTTTAATATTAATGTTTGTTGTATTAAATTTTGAAACTTTTTCCTATACTGAACTTCGTTGATCATCAACTTGTAATGAAAAGAAAGCGAAAAAGAGTAAAGGTTATAATGAAACTCTTCTTGATGTTTTTACAAATGGTATCAATATTGATTTATATATCATCAAATGCCATAATCCCCCACAGGGCAATATTGAATGGCACTAAATAGCGTAGAAATACATCATGACATATTAATCCTGCAATACCTAATAGTATACAAATTGTCCCTTTATGAAAATTAAGAGATAACCATAATAGTTCATGCAGACATCATTGATTGATAAGACAACTAAATTATTAAATAATAAAATAAATAGTTAAAAAGCTGATTTGATATCAGAGATAAATATTATCATACAGTTGAATTAACAACTTTATGTTCATTGCGGTCAATATTCCAAGAAAAAGACGAAATAATATTTTAAATTCATAGCATTACATCTTAGTGCTACACAATAACATAATTGAAGATAATACGGATGTTTACTATAAAAAGGATCATCTTCATTAAGATGATTTTTATAGACGATAATATCTGTATAGATAGTATATAGTTAACAAAAATCATTGTTTCGATCGATTATATACTTTGCTGATTCATGGGATAAGAAAAGAATAAGTCAGTAGGATGTGAATAATTAATATTAAGCCTATGGGGATAAAGAGTTGTTTACTTTCATTTCATTTAAAATACTATATTATGCATGGAATTCAAAAAAAAAGTTCAATTCTTTATGGAAATTTTGTTAAAAAATATTATTTACAACGGTGATTTAGTTCAAATAGGTTTCATTATTTAGTTGTAACAAAAACAAAAGGTTCATGTAGAAAATTTGATGATTATCATAATTCAATTCAATCAACATATATAAACCAGTTGGATTTGTTTTATTGACTTTATGGAAAGATAGTGATGATTATCAACAAACAATTATCTACATCGTATAATCTGTTTATGATACATCAAGAAATGTAACTATTTGAATTCAAAATATTCAACAACAATATATTGATAATTTTGATTTAATCTATTACTTGAGAACTTCTTTTTAAGTCTCATTCAAAGAAAAAATAAATTTAGCAAATAAACAAAACTCAACAACGACAACAAATTTTATGTATTCAGTTACTTAGAAAACCGATTAAATCGAGTAAGATACTACTTAATGTAAGATTTTTTAGTTCTGAACAAGACTTTAATGATGATGAAGAAAATAATTTTATTTTTATTTTTAAAATCAAATTCAAACAATTTGTTTTTAAAGATTTTGAGTAGTATTCACTCTAATATTTCTTAATGCAATAACAAGTCCTTCAAAACCTTTTATTAATTTTCCATTTTCAAATGTAACTCGTTTCTTTTGGTTTGTCCATTGTATTTCAATCCATTCAGCTCCACCATCAGCACAATCTGGACAACCTTCAGTATCATTTAATGATTGAAAACTTTTATCATTAATTAAATTGATTGATTCGTTCCATTTCTTTCGAGAAAAACGATAGATTCGTTTCACAGGTGGATAAGCATTTTGAGGAAAATTTGGTTCTTTCAAAGCAACTAATCGATTTGAACCTGCTCGTATTGTTATTGATTGACGACAATACTTAAGACAAAAACCAAATGAAACTCCATTAGATATTGATAAAATTTCATTTTTCGAACAAATATATTTCTCATTTGAGAGTTTCAACACCATAGCCAATAGAAAACAACATATAAATATTTTCATTATTTATATTAATAAAGAAGTATTCACTCCTAAAAAAGGATAAAAATATATTCGTCGTTGATTACTACTAAAAATAAAGTACATAATCCAACATACTTTATATAGTTTTTGAATAGCTTGAGTAACGTCAATAATGAATATATCGTAGGTGCAATATCATAGATCAAATGTCGCAGATATAATACGAAAAGGTAAAAATATCGGAAAAAAAAGCGTCCTCTTGTTTAATGTCATGAAAATTAGATACCACAACAAAATATTTAAAACATATGAAGAGAAATGACACTGATAGTCGATCAGTAGAATTAGTTATACTGATAATCAATGTTATTGGTCGATTACGAAATTGGTTATGAAAGTGAACAAACATATATTTTATGGATGAATTTAATCTAACACATCATCAATAACTGAAAGTTAATAGAAATCTAAGATGTGAAGTGTGTAGATGTGGTTGTAGATCCATTGTTAATTTACACTCAGAGCCTCTTTACCAAAAACAGTTTTTCATCTAAAATATATTTGTAATATTTCTAATATTAAGATAAAAAGTCTTTATTAATAACACTACAACAATAACTTTTTTTTGACTAATTTGATACATTGTCTTTCGACATTTTTATTATTCGGCTAAATTCAGATTTAACATAATTTATATGCCATTCGAGCAATGTGTGGAAACAAGAGTTGGAAAAAAAACAAATGTTTTTTTTTGTTTTGATACGGATGATTAACGTCACACTCGGTTTTATGATTATTATTATTAGTATAAAAAAAATATCAAATATCAAAAATAGCTACGTTTTACTCATCAACATTGTACGAGTACTTTGTTGTGTTGTTTTCGTTTCAATGAGAAACAAAGAAATTATTTTTTTCTCGAGGTAGATTTCAATTTGAAAATAAGAAACAATTTCCAATCGATGCAATAATGTAATTTTCCTTCAGATTTTTACCTTACTTTTCATGATTACTTACTATAGAAGGCATGTATCAATAGAAAAATCATCTAACATTTTGATAAAAGAAATTGTATGTATTTTGATTATAAAAAGATTTTATCAATAGAACCAATAGTGATTCAATGAGTCGTGTCATATTTAAATTCGAATGAAATATTGTCTCATTCTTCTGAAAAGAGTTTATTGTAAAGTTTTTCTATATATAAAATCTGTTTCGAGGAATGTAAAAATAATCTCTTTGAAGAAAATAAATAATGTCTTATGTAATTTCGATGAATGTATAATCTTATCGTCAAATTCTCTTGACTTTTTTTGAAATAAAATGTTTTTATTGATCACTCGTCAGTCAATGGAACAAAATCTCAATCAATTCAAAAATGTTCAATGTCGATTTTCTCCATTAAAAATCAATATATCAATTATTCTCTTCTATCTTCAATGATGGCTATTAAAGATTTTTGATTGTCGTTGTCTATTCATTTTTGTTTCTTCATCTTTAAGAAATGAAAATGATTGATTGTCATGTTCATTTTTTGTTAAACAATCCATTCATATCGTTGTTGTTCTTTTTTTCGAAATAGTTTTTATGGGTCACATAAACTTCGGTCCACGGAGTTTTCAACACGGACTTTCGGTCCATGACCTCATTGACCCCTAGAGTAAAAAACCTAATATTTTTAGTTAGCTGCGCTAGACGGCGTAGTGTTGAGCAGGATGTCATAATGGATGTGAGTGTGGGTGTCAATGAAGAGAAGACTCAGATGCAGACATCCACATCCAGACCCATTATGACATCCTGTTCAGAACTACGATATCTAGTAATTAACTAAAAAAATTATGTTTTTTTAGAGATCGATGAGGTCATGAATCGACTTCTTTTTGATTATCAATCAGAGAAAAAAATTCAATAAATAAATAAAACTTAACAATATCAAATTTTATGTATTCAGTTACTTAGAAAACTGACTATATCGAGTAAGATACAACTTAATGTAAGATGTTTTAGTTCTGAACAAAACTTTAATGATGATGAAGAAAATAATTTTATTTTTATTTTTAATTAAATTCAAACAATTTGTTTTCAAAGATTTTGAGTAGTATTCACTCTAATATTTCTTAATGCAACAACAAGTCCTTCAAAACCTTCTATTGATTCTCCATTTTCAAATGTGACTCGTTTCGTTTGGTCTGTCCATTGTATTTCAATCCATTCAGCTCCACCATCAGCACAATCTGGACAACCAATACGATCATTTAATGATTGAAAACGTTTATCATCAATTAAATTGATTAATTTGTCCCATTTCTTTCGACAAAAACCATAGATTCTTTTCACAGGTGGATAACCATCTTGAGGAAAATTTGGTTTTTTCAAAGCAACTACTTGATTTGAACTTGATGTTATATTTATTGATTGACTACAATAACCACCACAAAAACCAAATGAAACTCCATCAGATATTGATAAAATTTTGTTGTTCGAAGAAATTGATGCTCCATATGATAGTGTTAACACCGTTATCCACAAAAAACAACATATTAATGTTTGCATTATTTATATCAATTAAGAAATGTTCACTCTGAAAAAAGGATAAAAATATTTTTGATGCTGATGACTATGAGAAAGAAAGCACATGATTCGACATGCTTCATATAACTTATGAATCACCTCAAGGCACTTTTGCAGATTGACTGCATTCTCTACACTAATTGGTCTAATTGGCAACGCACATTAGAAAGTGTGAGTGCCGCGATGTCGCTGATCTGCAGATGTACCTCACTTGAATAGTGTTGAGGGTTAAAATGTCGGAAGTAAAATATGGAATATAAAAATCTCAAAAAACCGCGTCCTTCTCTTTGAAATTACGAAAATTAGATATGGAAACGAAATATTTAAAACATATGAAGGGAGATGACACTAATAGTTGACAAGTATAATTACTTATACTAATAATGAGAATGAACAAAAATTTAATCCACATAGAAGTGAAGAAGCATATATTTTATGCATAAACTTAATCTAATACATCATCAAAGACTGAAATTAATAGAGATCTAAGGTGTAAATTATATAGGTGTGGTTGTAGGTTCACTCTTAACTTACATCAATATTCGAAATAGCAGGTGTGACCAGCAGAAGTAAAATGTACAAAACATCTCCTACTTCCGAAATGCACATTGTTTCACACGTTACTAAGAAAAGCGGAGTATACATAGTATACTTTGATAAAGAAATTGACTTTTTGATTTCAGATCTTTTACACCTGTATATGGTATTACACTTAAGATTATGTTTTGATTATAGTAGATTAGTTGTCTTATGTACTGGTGGAGGCAGAAAAAAATCGTAGGGAAAGGAAGACGAGTTCAGCCCCCGTTAGAAGCTGAAAATGAGAGATTTTCTTCTCTTATTATATAGGATCGTCTCATTCTTAGAGACAACGCAAAGGCTGCGGGATAGGATTGAGTGATCCCATGGATCCACCATTAGTCTTATACGTGACCTCGTCATTAGTTGAATATAACTTCTGTTCTTCTATCTCGACTTCTGTTTACATACATAGTTTTTGTTTCTTTATATTGTAAAAAAACCTGATTTTTGTACACTTTCATGAAGAAAACAAAGTGTAAAATAACATTTTGTTCTTGATTTCCATTAGAAGCGCTGTTCCGCATCCATACCTTCTTCAGCAAAATCATTTTTTCATCTAAAATGTGATTTTTATATTTTTAACATTAAAATAAAAACTGTTTATTAATAACACTACAACAATATCATTTCTTGTACTAACTTGATACATCGTCTTTCGATATTTTTATTTTTCGATCAGATTCAGATGTACCATAATTTATAGGTATATGATTGTTTTTTTATTAGAACGAGAAAAAAAATACCATTCAAACCGTCTGTGAAAACGAACAACGAAAAAAAAACCTAATCTTATTTTTCTTTTTATACCGATTATTAACTGCGCATTGGGTTTTATAATAAAAGTATGAATGAAAAAAAAAAGTATAGCAAATATCAAAAATATCCATATAATATTGGTTAAGATTTTGTAACTACTGTGTTGTTTTTTTTTTCTGTTTGAATGAGAAAAAAAGGAAGTGTTTTTTTCTTCAAGTAGATTTCATCTTGAAAATAGAAAATAATTTCAAATCGATGTAATAATCTAACTTTGCTGGGAATTTTTATCTTGATTTATGTGTTGAGTCACTATAGAAGATATAGATCAATTGAAAATTTGCTTAGGATCTCTTTTACACAAGAGAGATTGTATGTATATATCTATGTTATTTTAATTATAAATAGATTTATAGAATCTATTTTGAAAAATGTAAAAATAATTTCTTTGAAGAAAATAAATAATCTCTCATGTTATTTCGATGAATGTATAATCTTATCGTCAATTTTCTTGAAGTTTTATGAATAAAATATTTTTATTGATCATCCTTCGATCAATGGAACAAAATCTTGATGAATTTAAAAATGTTTAATCTCAATTTTTACCATTGAAAATTAATACATCAATGACTCTTTTCCCTTTTCAATAAGAGATATTAAGAATCTTTCATTTGCGTTATCTAATCATTTTTCTTTCTAATATTTCGAAAAGATATTTTTACTCTCGAATCATTCTTGATCCATATGAAGTATATTTTAATAGTAAGTTTTTAAAAGTATGATACATATTCCAAAACATCTTTATGTTTATCGACTTGTGGATTAAATCTATTGATTGTTCAATTCATCTTAATAAATGATATCAATCAGAAATAATATTTCAAAGAAATGAAATTACAATAATATACAATATTATAAGAAAGAGACATTTTTATTTTGTTTTTCTGTGATACCGAGTACCTAACTCAACTATAAGTAGTGAATTTGATAGTCAATAAAGTTCTCTATAAAATTTACTGCATACGAAGGTTTCATAGTTAGACTATTTAGGAAAGTTTTCTAACAGACTGAACAAAATAGTTTTCAGGTAGCAGAAGATTTTGCAGGTGTTTGTTTTTTAACAGTACCATTCGAAAGTACATGAAATTCTGAACAATATAAGTTATTACCACTCTTTTTACGATATTTCCTTACAGAGTTACTAGCATCTCCAAAAAAAAAGGTATTTTTCGGCAGCTGTTTGATAAATTTTGCCTTCTTTCGTATTTTGTGATGCTTATAAGAGAAGATCATTAGAAAAAGCAAAACCATCCCATATTATTCAGAATGTTGTGCTTTTCCACATGATGCTGTTAAAAACGAACTCTTGCAACATCTTCTGTCGCTTGAAAACTACTGTGTTCGGTTTTTTTTAAAGAAAATTTTTCTACATAGTACATCTGATAGAGAACACTATCGACTATTGAAATCACTATTTGGATTTGATTTAAGTGCTCGACATCAGAGAAAAAAATTCAAAAATGTCTTGTTTTTCTCATTTTGACCAGTACTGTATTAATGATATTAAATATAATGATAGGAAACTCGCAATAATCATTAACAATAGATTAACTAGTCAAAAGCATTTTGAATTTCGTTCATTAAAATGTTTCGAATATATTTATATAGTTCCACTGAGACAAGGACAAGAATATAGATGTTCTTCATTGAATAACCGATTTACTCATATACTCAATGATTAAACATTGATTAAAATCAAGAATTATTCTTCAAAACTATTCAATATTGCCTTTTGAAAATTGTCATACGAACTATATAAACTCTCGACCGGATTTAGGTGTAAGTGTGTGCACTGAGACCTAAATTCTCTTCATAAATAATTCAAAGAATGTTGACATAATTATTAATTAAAAAATGGCGAGACGTACAGGTTCAGCAAAGAAAGAAGAAAGAAAAATGTATGATTGTTTATGTGTTGGTATATGAACTCGTAGGATCACGTCGTGCTTTAAACAACAGGACATAGCTCACGATGATAACACTATATATAAAGACGATCACATCACGTAGAAGACAAAGCACAACGTTATTAATATGACAAAAATGATAACACAATCATCGAGGATTACTTCTATAACACTTACAGAGAAGAAAAACTATATTGTATGAAGTATTTTACACTCAAGTATAATTACAGTCAAGTTAACTTTAGTTTTTTGTTTTTATTTAATATTCATTTAATAATGAATAGAAAGAATAAAAAAAAATTAAAACGATTCGTTTATTTAGATATCTTTAAATATTTTCTATTTAAAATAAACAATATTAGTATTATGTTTATTATTTCGAAAGATCATTCAACGGGAAAGTTTTTTTTGTGTTTGCATAAGAGAGCATTTCATCATTTGTTTATTAATGCACTTTGTTTGGAAATTTCAAGAAAAAATGGAATAGAATACTGTGTTTATGTTTTTATTACATTTCGAAATGAATTAAGATGCATATCAACAAAAAACAACTGTTGCCAATAAACAGCGATAAATAAAAGTGTTTTTGTTGTTTACAAACGGCGCTTCTTCTTTCAACTGTTCTTATCAGAAATACGAGACAATAAATATAGCTAGTAGAAACAGAAAAAAACGAGAATAAACCTTGACAAAAAATGTATAATAGAACTTACTACAAGATACTTTCTTGTCTAATAAAAATGGTATAATTTTAAACTTTTTTTCTAATCAATTCAAACAAATAGATAATAATTAAAAAACTAAAATAAGAATTATTTGATAATATCTTGTAAAATATAAACTATTGCTCGTTGTTTTAAACTATCTAAATTTTCATATCAATCGATTTTCTTTATCTAAATTTATTTCAATTATATTTCATCATTGTCAGATGGAAAATAGGGTATTTCGATGAACATCTTTTGCTTTAGTTTGATTTTTTGAATAGGATTTTATTCAAAGAAAAAATTTATTTATTCAACTTTTACCATATTACATTTGTTGACTTTACTTTTACATTCTCGATGTTCAAACATTTAAATCAGAATTTCAAATCATATAATTTTCTAGTGATGCTCATACTCATTTGCTATCAGATAAAAGACTATAAACATATTACATTATCTCGAACAAAAAGTATTTTTAACTATTTGTCCGATGTTCTATCATTTCACAAATTGCAGACATAGATCAAATAAACAATTCCATAAATCGGACGATCATATTTATTTGTTTATTTTTTTTTTGTCTCGCTTAGTTCAAAATACTGAGTTCAATACGCATGCCTATATATGTATAGCTTATTAGAACAAAGGAAAAAAAAAACAGTGAAAAAAAAGAAAGTGAACATGGCGAGAAAGCAGCTTCTGCATGTGTGTATACATTGGGCTCGAATAGAAACAAGGTACATATTCACACAAAATAATAATAATAATAATAATAATAATAAAAAGAACAGGAAGAAATACGAAAACAAAAAAAAAAAAGAATGCAAGCATAGTCCGCAGAAAATAAATAATAACAAATAGATTATAGGACATCACAAATGAAAGAGAAAAACAAAGCAATAGAAACTTAAGAAGCAAAAAAAAAAAAAAAGAAAAAAGAAAAATTTAAGTAGGATCATGTATTGAAGGATTT